GCACCTGCTTCAAGTACAGCCTGGCCCAGGCGGACGACGCGAAGCGTTTAAAATGACAGCTGCATGGAAGGCTAGACAAGCTTATATAGATGAGGTAAACCTTGCCGACATATGCCTGAAACATCGATGATGTGTCTGCGCGCGCGCATGTGTGTGTGTGTGTGCGTGTCTCTGTCTGTCTGTCTGTCTGTCTGTCTGTCTATCTATCTGTCTGTCTGTCTGTCTGTCTGTCTGTCTGTCTGTCTGAATGTCTGTCTGTCTCTCTGCGTGTCTGCGTATGTCTCCGTGTGTCTCTCTGTGTCTCTCTGTGTGTCTCTGTGTGGCTGTTATTGTAACTCTCTGCTCTCTCTGTGGGTGTCTCTGTGCGTGCATCTGTGTGTCTCTCTGTGCGTCTTTCTGTGTGTATGTGTGTGTGTGTGTGTGGCTCTCTGTGTGGCTTTTTGTGCGTCTCTCCATGCGTGTCTCTCTCTCTCTCTGTGGGTCTCTCTGCGTGTCTGTGTATCTGCGTGTCTGACTGTATTTCCGTTTGTGCGTCTGTCTGTCTGTCTGTCTGTCTGTCTGTCGGTCGCTCGCTGCGTCTGTCTGTCGGTCTGCGCGTCTGTCTGTGTGTCCGGGTGTGTGAATGTGCTGTGTTTGTGTGCGTGGGTGTGTCTGTCGGAGTAATTCTGGAACCGGTAAGGATGTAACCCCAGCACCGGCCCACGAAGGCATTCCCAGCCCTCCTAACGTCAAAGTGCGGGCGCTGCCTAACTTGACAAGATATCTCATGCAAGCAACTGAAGAAAGCTCCACGTGCAGCTTGTGACTAGCTAGGCGGCTAAGCCCAGATGCAACCACAACAGGGCTATTCGGGACCACAGTGATGTTGACACCACTGGGAAAAGATTTGAACGGGAGCAACGACCCTGCATGTCAAACAAAACTAATACGTTCTGCTCATCCGGAGAGGTGAAGTGGAATGCAGGCACAGGGCTATCCGAGCCCTGTCCAGAAACACACACCCAATGTCGAAAGGAGCGTCTCGGAAACTACCCTCCATATGTGTCATTGGTTCCTTAAGTCATGTGCATAATACATTTGATAGTATGGTATAGGTATAAGCTAGACAGCTACAGTAGACAGCATTTCAAGCATATACAACGAAGTGTTACCCGAAAATAGCCATGATAATCGACGGCCAGGGTGATCAAACCCGACACACGGCTGAGGCAAGCGGCACGCGCGTACCCAGGCGATATGCGACGCAGGTGGCAGGCGCGGCCCCTCGGGAGTGGCCGAAGAGAATCCTTGGCTGAGAAGAGTTCGAACAGCTCCGGAGCTGGATGGGGACCGAATAGCCCTGAAGTGTAATAGATAGTAACGAATGGTAATGAATAGTAGTGGGAATTGCAATGATAGAAATACCTGTGTAGCCATACGACTGGACAATACTCATGCTTGACAACTTGAGAGGAATCTTTTGCGATTAACTCTTGGGCATCTTTGCGTTGATTCACCGAAGTAAGAAAGCCGTCGAACTGGTCCAGCTGCAGCAACTATAAGACCACTCAACTTGAAGCAGAACTAGCAACCGTAGACAGGTCAGGCCTGATGTGAGTGCGTGCGTCTGTGCACAGGAAAGAGGCAGGGAGAGGGAGATGGATAATAAAACAAGCTTAGCAAAAAAGGATCCAGTCCCCGATCGAAGAGAAACATTCCGATGCCTACGACTGCCGAAGCCCACACTCTGCCCCTGGGCATTCTAAGGCTAAAGGGGACAAGGCAAGTCAAAGACTTTGACAAAGTGGATATGCACACTTTGTAAAGAAGCGCCATCGCGACCTAGACCAAGCCGTGCATGGCAGACAAAGAGCAGGGGTCGATCCACGGCACCTGCAGCAGCACTGTCGGATGCCAGGCCACAAAGACACTGTCCCATTAGGCTTCCTTCCTTGGTACTTGCCGAGCCCCCTCGTCTGTTGGACGCTGGGTGCAGTGCCACAAATCCTGAACACCCCGAACCAAGGAGTGTGCATTCTCCGAGTTCTGACTTCCACCTACCCCCGCAAGAGCCCCCGACTCGCAACCCTACCCTGACTGAATCTGTCCGCCTGCGGCTTTGTTGATCTCCCCCACGAGCAGGTCGATGTAAGTGGCCCAGGGCTCCCGACCTTCTCCAGTCATCCTGCGAGACGTCGGACTTTTGGATAGGGGGGCCTGTGGAAGGTTTAGTAACCCTAAACCCTAAACCCTACTTAGGCTACTTTGCTTTTCTTTAGAAAAAATTTCTGCCTCCCACCGAGCCAGGACAAGCCCGCTCGGCCGTCGAGGTTGAGGGCTTCAGCTTCGTGGCTAGCTTCCACGCACATGACATGCTCTACTATATTGCGTATGCATATCTATATATATATATGTAATACTATACAGCTCATATGTAGGCTATATGGAGATAGATAAAAATGTAAATATATATATATATATGTATGTATATATATATATGTATATATATGTATATGTATGTATGTATATATATATGTATATATATATATATAATACATGTACATTATAGTTAATAAAAAAGATACTGCTTGGCGTCTGCATTGGCTGGCTGCTTTGCCAGGTGTAGTACATTTGCACGCACGACTGGGCTGAGCACCGCCCTAGGCCCTGAACCTTGCAATGGCATCTCTCAAGAAACATGGGGCGGGGTCTCGTAGCCATCGGGGAAATGGAAGATCGCAGCATCCTGCCAGGACAAGGTGTCATCTGTTCGTCGTTGTGCCGGAACTTCACTTGCATCCATCTTCAAGTTCGAAAACAATGAACCTCATGGTGACTTCTGCCAGGCCAGCAAGCCGAAACAGTAAGTCTACATGCTTTCGGGACAAATGTGACAGAGACCTGAGCGCAAGCATTCTCTCCAGGGACAGGGAGGTGCAATGTGATTTCCTGATTTCCCGTGCTGGGGCAACACAGCATCTTGCAGCTGCCAATGACAAAGTAGGCTGCCCTTGCCCGTGTCTGTGCGATTCTAGATTTGAGCGTTGGCGTCCCGCTTCTGCCAGCCTCCACACCAGCATCCTTCACTGCTTCAATGAGCGGAGCTAACCTGATGCTGGGGGTTGAGAAGCTTGCCCAAGCAGCTGAAAGTTTAGTCACCAAAGAAGGCTCTGCGCAACTCTGTGCCTTTATTATAATACAGACATGCGTAGTTAAGCATGTTTTTCCTTCTGTATGCTCCTCTTGGTGTATGTACCTAGGTGCATAATTGGTTGGCTATTTTAGTTAGCTTTCTTGCTAGTTAGTCAGTCAAACAATCAGTCAGTCAGTCAGCCAGCCAGCCAGTCAGTCAGTCAATGAGTCAGTGAGCTTTTGGCCTTTGCCTCCTGCATTGCTGAGCCAGGTTATTTAGAGACCTGTGAATCAGGATCATACTGTCACGTAAGTCACAAAGTCTCTCACGCAACCAACAGCGCCGAGAACAAAATCTGCATGTGGCGGTTTGACCACAAAACAAACTTTCAGCGAGCTGCCACTCGATGAATCGAAGGTTGTTTTGCGTATGCTCGGTCAATATAACAACTCTTTCTTCTGGTCTTTGTGCAACCCATCCAATAGAAAAGCGGCAAGGATTATGATGCCTGTCATCCCGACATGATAGAATCTGTACCATACTCCTGGGGAGCCGTACATTCTGCACGCGCCCAGTTCGTCTTCAAAGCTGTTGCCAATTGCTACGAAAGAGCCACTGTCTGGGGCAGCTGGTTGAGATGGGTGAGAAGTACATGTAATGCCAAGCAGTTGGTAAGGGGTGTAACTTCCCATACTGCACAGATACAAACTGATACAAGCATAAACATACAACTATATGTACAACCATCTAAAGCTACGCGGCCGCCATCCTGTCCACGATACCTACCTGCATCCCTTGTGAAGTTCGGCGGCAAGCCGAGACGAGCGAAGTCAAAACTCCAAGCCGCAGTCGTGGTGGTGGGTATAGACTATAGAGCTTGCTCTTCAACCTTACCAAACTCCAATGCCGGCTGAGAGGCAGCTTCTCGCCATCTTTCATCGAGAACCCGCCGGAATACCATGCCTTCTTTTCGATGCCGAAGAGTGCAAGGTTCGAAGGGTAGTGTGAGGGCTACAAAATAAGGGCAGCGCATAAGGACTCTGCAAAAGGCAGGAAACCCGAGCCGCTGGCGCAGAAAAGTGGCTGCTTACCTGTCCGGTAAATCGGAGCATGGCACATCACCACAACGGAACGACAGCGCCAGAACCAGGAAGATGCAAGCAGCAGCTAGATTCAGATTCATAGACTGTCCAGGCATTATGCCATTATGCATCACTATGCTAGGCTGTTTCGCTTCAAACTCGGACAAGCCCCTTTTCGACTTACAGTGTACGTAGAAATGCCATGATCGCAAGTATCACGCATATCCTTGGATCGTTCCGCCAGCACTGCTGGGCGATGCATCGCGGCGCAGAAACGTGCGCAAAGGTGGGGGCCCTCCATGTCAATTTCGGTGTCGTGCACTCTACCCACGCGCAACAACTGTTGCAAGCACCATGCCTCAGCTTGGGCTGCAGGCATCCTCACATGTCTCCAACTTATGCGAAGCTTCCCAAGGGCCTTTCCGATGCGCTGCTGCCATGGGTATTCGTCCCACAAATGGCACCTGCAAAAGGCGAACGTGCTTCAAACGAACTTCATGTCAGAGTTGCAGTTCAGGTTAGGCAGTTCCTTCTTTCAGCCCTGCCGAAGGGAGCTCCGTGCGGAAGAGACTGCGAAGCAGCTGAAAACCAACCCCTGCGCAGTGCAGCACGATAGTTCAGGGCCTCAGTGCTTCGAGACAGATGATGGCAGCCACTTACAGCGTGAGCGGACGAAGGAGCCATCAACGGTGTCACCAACCATTTACACCCCAAAAACATCGAGCTCCTGCCTGCTCCGGCTCAAACCCACCAGTTCAATCCACAGACAACTTGTCACCGTACCCTCCTAGCCCCTGGCCCCCTGCCTCGCGCCACTGCTGTTTCTCGGGTGCCGCTGCTTCCCGGACTTTCAGGAAGCGCCGGAGCCTTCAGCTTGCTCGCGACGGCTCATGGAAGCCCGACATTCCCTCCATCAGCCCTCAACCCCACACAATATGGATGATGATGATGATGATGTTGTTCTTGTCGACATACTTGCGACCTTTTCTTGGCACTCGCGATTTGGGCCTTCGACTTAAGGGCTCGAGGGTTTCGGGACTTCTGGGGCTTATACCGCGAGGTTCCACAAGTCCAGAGTTTTAGGGTACTTACCTTGAGATTCCAGTTCCGGGTTTGGGCCTCAATGCTAAGATTGAAAGTTGAGGATGGGCTGATGGTGCAGCTCTCTCAGCCCGGGAGTTGGAGGGCCCCAACAAAACAAGGGGGCGTAGTTCACCTCCGAAGCTCGACAGGCCCCCTCACATTCAGAGCCCGCTTAGTGTCTGGCAGGTCCTTCCCGTAAAGCCGGGTGCTGACCTTGAGGTGACAAGGGTCTGAACTATCTCAGACATTGCCACATAGGCCGCCCCATGAATCGAACGCAGATCCCACACCGCAAGTCCGTAACCAGAGGTATGCCAGGTAAGCTTGCATGCTATGCTATAGAGTCTTGCTTACAGTGAGGAGTGGCAAGGCAATGGATGCCTCCAGGGCTCGCATGGCTGCTGGTACTGAATATGCAAATCCCTAGCCCCCCAAGTACCTACTATATAGGGCCCCAGGGGCTCTAGTCCCCTATATAGTAGACTGGGGCTTAGGAAATGCTGGAGCATTAATTGAAACCCCATCTGTAGAATGACAAGCCACTTCCCTGCCCACAAATACTTTCGGGCCCAACCAACACTGGACTCCAGGCAGAGACAAGGATTCAGGGGGCACAGGCCCACAGACATTCTCCACGCGCGCCTAACGACAGCAGCTGAAACTGCTGGGAATGTTGATCAACGGTTCTCTCTCCATAAAACTCTCTCTCTTCCACTGTATTGAAAGATGATTGGTTCCGGCAAATGCAACTCGAACTATACCAGTCCCCAGGGCCCCTGGGTCTGTGTGCATACGGCTACCTCGAGGTAGTAGACTCTAGAGAAAGCGCCTACGGCCGGTACTCTGCTTCCGTACTTCCCTCTGTTCCACCAACGAAATGCTACTTTGCGACCAGGCCCCTGGCCCAGCCCGTCTCGGGTCCAGAGCCCGTGATGAGCTTGTAGCGCAGCCGCCTCGGCACGCCGACAGTCCCGCAAGTGTGCGTGCGCGCATACACATGCACTCACACTGTATGCTTACTTATATGGAGAGAGAGAGAGGGAGAGAGAGAGAGAGGGACAGAGAGCCGCTAGCTAGCTAGATGGCTGGACAGACAAATAATATAAACAGATGGATATGCAGACATATAGATAGTTCATACAATACACACATCCTTTCGGACGGACTGGCAAACACACAGATAGAAGTGCATATGACAGTTATGACAACACATGAGTACTGTATATTGCAAAATTGCCAAAGAAAAATCTTCTAAATCCGGAAGTAGAGAAAGGGCTTAGAGGCGGATCAAGGGAGAGAGTGGGAGACAGAGAGAAAGCTTCATCTGTGCTTGTCCTATGTAGGTACACGTACCTGCATGTACCTTGCGTATACTTTTCGACAAATAAGTACTGTACACTACTTGATATGAGTATACAGGTACATTCATGGACTGAAGCATGTACCTAACTGTACATATTATGCAGGTACCTGAACGTGTGCCCATACTGAAACATACACCCACACACCCCTAAGCATTGAAGCATGACACATGTAGTGCATAACAACCATGTAATAACACGCATGTTACATGCGATGTATGATGAGACGCAGGTGCAAAGATGCTGAGCAAGCCTCTGCGCGCAAAGCTTTCAGGATGTTTGTCAGGCTGCAAGGCTTTCTGTCAGCTACCGGTTCTTGATGAAACTGCCCACGCACCCTCCCGAACCTCCGTAAACAAGGGCTTAACCTGCTTAACCCTAAACATCCCCACAGTAGGCCCTAACCACCACAAACCCCTCAATTCCCAGTGCTCGGGCAAGTGCCCATTGGCAAGCTCGATCTCCTCAACGAAGGCAGCATGCGACAGCCTCTCATCCTTGGCTTCAAAGCTTCATCACTGGGGAATGTAGTAGCTTAGTAACCAAACCGCTGTTCCGGAATGCCATTCTAGTGAGACTCATCCGCGACGGGGTCGTCGTAGCGTTCGCACCGCACAGAAAACCCTTGTATGCCTTAAGTCGTCACCGGAAGACGGTGGAATCCGGAAACCACTTCGACAGAAGCTGAAGGGTCTGACCCTTCGCTACTTGGTTGGTTCGCTTCTCATGCGTCGAGCATTCGGTTCTTACAACGGTGGTCACCTGGTGGTCACGATAACGACCAACACAAACCTCTATAGCAGCAATCCGGCTCGCACCATGCCCCCTGGCACCAGTGATAGTGACGCCTTGCGGGCCATATCAGACGGTGGGAAATGAGTTCTGCCAGGAACAAAAGATTTCCGAGTACAAGAGGAATACGACTCGAGTAACTCGTGAAGAGGGCCAAGTGGAGCATGGTTCTCATGGCTACGCGGCTACTGGCGCATTCAGCAAAGCTTGTGTGGTTGAGCCCTCACTGTCGATATCTGCCGATTGCTTCGCATGCTACAGGCACTGCCACGAGACATCGGCCCGGCATCTGTACGACACTCGCACGTAGACAAGGGGGCGCGATTTCAACTGCTCGGATCGAGTATGCGGCTCGACAATGGGAAATCTGCGAGTGAAGCTACACTCGTGGCATCTGGCCATTGCCATCGTCGAGAGCAAAGGAAAACGAAGAACCGTGATTTGTTGGAAAGGATAGAGCGACTGACAAGTAACAAATCAGAAACGAGAGTGATCCTTCCTTTGGTAGAAGCTCGGTGGCAGGTGGCAGGACCCAGCACATACAGCCTCCAACCCAATCGAAGCGAGGTATTGTTGCGGAGCAATGCATAACAGGTCCACCCTAACTGCATGTACCGAACGCAGCGCAGTTCACACCCAAGCGCCAAGCGGCTTCGGTTGCTACCGAAGGCTGTGACAAAGACGCCCAGCATGGCCCCCAGAACGCAACTACTTCAATCACAAGTGAACGCTAGATTAAGCGATCCCTGTTCAATGACCCCACAGCATGGAACTTAGAGCCTATCAAACCAATTATGTGCACATCGACGGCTCGCCGCAGGGATGTCTCCAATCTCTTGCTTGCCTATGCGTCACGTACACCGTTGGTACGCCGGCAACAGGAGATGCCCTCCTCAACTCAAAACATTCTTGCTTCAGCCCTTCTGGCTACAAGCAGACCCTGAGAGAAACTATCTTGCGGCGACTGAGGAAGTTCTATGGTTGCCAACAGTTGAAACATCAAACGACATTACTATTATTTCGAGTGTTATTACTATTGCTTGTCCCAGTCGCCAAACCGGCCTCATTGCCACGAAAAGACATCGAGCGGCATTTGCATGCCACCCGCATGTAGACAAAGGGTGCGTGAAAGCAGCTTCTCGGATCGAGTACGTGACTTCTACGTGGGCAAGCTGCGAGTGCAGATATCGGGCAATCGCAACACTTGTGGCACCTGGCTTTTGGCCTGCGCCGAAAGTGAAGGAAAAGGATACGTGACTGCGAGGGAGCATGCAAAGCAATCCAAAATGACAAGTACCGTAAAGTATGCGAATGTGTGGTGTGCAAAAACCCAGGCCCCATGACAGTCCCGGTGCAAAGGAGCTTGTGTTGGACAGAGACTGCCAGGGTAGAACTTTGGAATCAGAGTGGTCCTTCTATTGGCTGCACTCACACTATGTCCCAATCGAAGCGCTCGCCAACTAGCAAGGTCGCAGGACCACCCTGGCTGCATTTACCAGCACAGCAGAGTGCGTCAAATTTCGTGAAACCCAACAGGCTTCGGAGAAGCAAATGTAGCAAAGACGCAGAAAGGAGTGGGTGCTGAATGCCAGCTCACGCAAGCTACTTTACTGCTTTATAATTTAACAGCGAAGAAACACTAGAGTCGTCACTAGATAAACTGATCCTTACAATCAATGACGCCCCTGCATGGAGCCCTACAGAGTCTAAGACAAGGAAAATACACCGACTGCTCAAATTGCGCTTCAGGATGCGAAACCGGAATGTCTCCGGTCTCTCGCCTACGCGTCACCCAAGCAGTACGCCGGCAGCAGGAAAGCGCCTCCTCAGCGTAGTACATTACTCGGCTGCATTCGAAATTTGGCCTCGTCATTCACGAAATCTCGGACGTAGACCCAAACCAAGGAAGACTTCTTCGATGACTCCTGGCCACGACACGGGGCGAGGTTGACCGTGTTGGCCGCCAGGAACTTATTTTGGTCATCCAGCCTCCGGAGCATCACGGACGGTAGCTCATGTATGTCTGGAGAACCAACCTGGCACTGTTCGTGCGCAAACTTCGCCACGCGCATACGGATGCTGAGCCAATCCGAGTGTCTGAGCATGGTCTGCAAGCATGGCATGCACGAGTGGATGTCATTCGGCAGGTGCTTGTCTCGCTTGAACTTGGCGTGCACTTGCAGCACGTCCTGCTGGTCCGTACTGGCATCCACGAGCATTGTAAGTTCGCGCAGTTCGGGAACGGGATGTACCCTGCACAGCATCGAACTGCTCAGACTGTGCTTGGAGCAGGCGGCCTCCGACTCTGCAAATGTGGACATGCAATCGTTGTCATCTTCGGAGTAAATGGAGAGCGCTTCTGGAATGGCTCCAAGAGTTGCTTCCGGCTGCAGCCTCGTATCTGGATCTTCCGTAAACGCTAGAAGGTGAAGGGGTCCTGCAGCATCCAAAAAGCGGGGCACAAGAACGTGGAAAATGTCCACACCTACCCGCGAATACGCGCTTGGCAGTGAGACGCGCAGGCATCGCGGAATGCTGCAACTTTTCTCATGCTCCTCCCTCGCTTCGGGACGACGGCTTGCGCTGCAAGACTCGCGGACGATTTTCTCGAACTGCGTTTTCCCTTCCTGGTCGAGAAGGTCTGTAAACTTCACGCCTTGAAGATCGGTGGGCGTCCCTAGGACGCGTCTCAAGCGAGTGTTATCCCCCACGATGAGGAAACTATCATCCAGCAGCACGTCCGCATCGCAAACGCCTCGCAAGACCCGCTGGAAGCCTTCCAAAGACAGGTTTGCGTCGGCCGACTGGAATGAAGCCTTGATGCAAGTTCGCGCCCACGCCTGGACCATAACTGCGACTCCACACACCGAGGCAAGGATGACAACCTGACCGCAGAGGAAGTGCCAGGGAGGACCCCGGTGTGTCCCCTCCAGCCCAAAGTAGCATGCAACTTCCACCACAAAACCCAGGCCTGACACGGGATTAAAACAGGCGGGTCGTGAATGACAGCAGCCCCGGAGACGCGCAAGACCGCCGAGAAAACAGAGAGGAAGTTGTAGTCCGCTTCCTCAGAAGAGTGTGTGATGACGACGAGGAAGGTATGACCTGCGTGCGACAGCATCACCAGCAGTCGAAGCGTTGCCAAGGTCAGGCGCGATCTCGCCACCCACCAGCAGCCAAGATGATGCACCAAGACCGCCACACATTGGACTGCAAAAACAAAGTTCGTCTGCTGCTGCATGAGGTATATGAGATACAGTTCTACCACGACCAAGAAGTGTGCCAGATATCGTATAGCTCGCCTGTAGTTGTCCATCATCATTTTCTGCAGGGCATCTTCCATGCGCTGCTCGTCCAATTCCGGCTTCTGCAACTTCTGCGCCCATTTCTCAATCCAGTCCGGCCAGGTTGTCGACAAGCCCTCCAAGTCCCAGTCCGTCAAGGCGGCGTGGACAGACAGGAGAACTATGCCGCAGGCCACAGCTGCCGGAAGGGGAAGCACTGAGGCGAACTCCGCAAACATGCCTGAGGAGAGCTCGGGAGTCTACCGCCTTCGAGCCCTCGGTCTTGAGAAGAAGTCAGGCTTCGGCTTGGCGGTTTGAGCACGGCATGCCTTCCAAGCCTGTTTTGGCTTGCTTCAATCTATGTCAACACTCAGCTATGCCATAGTCAGGGTTTTGGGCTTCAGCAAGCGGATGCTTTGGGTAGGACCCTAGGACTGAAATTCATGGCCCCTTGCCCGAGGCTAGGCAGCAGCCATGCCATGGTTGAGATCTGCGGGGTCGAGAAAGTCGGGGCAACCCCCAACACCACTATATATCGATGGCTCGGCGCTATGGGGTTGATGTTGGTGAACTTTTAGCTGGAGTACGTAAAACTCGGTTGCATCTCTGGCACGAGTCGAACCGTCCCTGTGTAACGGCTTAGCGTTTGAGACTTGTGCGTATACCTACCGACCGACCTACCCACCTACCTACCTTCCTACCTTCCTGGTTACCTACAGTACATACATATGTTTACATACATTTTCATACCTTTGCACATACATACGTACATGCATGCATGCATGCATACATACATGCATTTACATACGTTTTGCATACTGTACGCTTTACATACGTACATACATACATGTTTACATGCATGCCTACATACATACATACATACATACATACATACATTCATTCATTTCATTCACGCAAACTTACATGCATACACCGTACATATATACAGACATAAATGAACGGTTTTAGTACAGTTGTGTGTCGGTTCTCAAGAAGCAAAGCTCAACCAGGCTCCTACATGAACATGCATGTTAGCAAGTACTACCAATAGGACAGTGTAACATGGATATCTCTCGTTGAGGCCAGGCATCGAGCTTCCTGCTTTGCAAATGCTCACCCTCTCGAACGACAATGCCACCTGCATGACAGCAGAGCCAGGCAGAAGACTTGTTGCAAGCGCCGTCCCCATGATCGATTCTTTGAAGCTTGGACGATTGAAAGCTTAACTGAAGCTCATAGTGCTGGCTACAACCGTCCATACATGAACAATTTGCGCAACACGGACGGCAACCTGAGGACAATGGGTCTGGATTTGGAGCTTTGCATGTATCTCCATGCAAGCTGTGATGCTGAAGTGCTTTGTTGTTCTTGCCCCTGTTGATATTGTATTTACTAAACATAATTACGGCTTTGATGAAACTGTTATTGTGCGTTAGAGTTCGTGGGCTTGCCAGACATCGCATCGCAAAGCAAAGCTTCATCTACGTGTCCCTCTGAGATGTGCAGTTTGGGCCATCCTTTCCTGGAGACTCCAAAGTCCCATGTGCAATACTATACTGTTACTATAAGATTCTCACTATAGTTACTCTACATTACTCTACTAGATGACTGTAAGTTGTAGTTCATTCTATAATGTTCTAGGCCAAGCGGCCGACGCCCGCACCAGCCGTCACTTCCCAAATCTGTGTCATGGCGCGTTCACCGCAGGGGGCTTCGGAAGCTCAGCGCAGGGTTTAGGGTGTACTTTCGACTTGCTGTGAAAAGCTGTGTCCACTTCTCGTCTAAGCAAATGCCGAGGATTACACCTGGGAGCCCCCTAATATCTATCTGGCGAACTACCGAATGTGAGTTGGCGGGGGCGAAGTCTTTGGCCCTCACTCAGAGCCATGAAGTCCCAGCGATCGAGGCGTGGTGCAAACCGACAGGAGTATGGTGCTACAGTAAGCATGTCAATGATGTTAGCCTTGGCCCCTTCTAGCCGAATCTAGCCGATCTGGACATCGGAGCTAATGAAACGGAACCGATGGAACTAAGGTCAGCTGTGGATACGCCGTCAGTTAGAGAGCGACAGGCAGCCTTGGATCCGAAAACAACCCTTGTTCGAGACGGAGGGTCCTCAACTCCACTTCTTTCAATATTTTCCTGGTTCTTAACTTTTGGCAGTCTTGCTTGCTAGTTTTCCTGTTAAAAGCAGTACGTAGGGCCAGTAGGGCGATGATAGGCTGTGGAAAGTGTTGCTACCAAGAACATGACTACGGGACTACGTAGTACTGCGACAATGTGGCACACTCTGCACACCACCACACCCCGCCCTAAACTTTTACGGGTCTCCAATGGTTTGTGCCCACATTCATAACGGCACTTCTGAAGCCGCCGATTGGGACGCCCGCAGGCTCACGGGCTTTACAAGTCTTTGCAATCTGCATTCAAAGTTCATCACTGTTTGAATGTCTCAATTAAAAAAAAAGTTTGGGCTGAAGCTTCAGATTCTTCGCAAGGATGTAGGGTTTTGTTCCGTCACAGAGACCAGGTGGCATGTTTTGATGCAGGAGACTCTCGGCGACCGGGATCACTGTGCTCGGCCCTCTCGACACAAACTTTTCCGGATCTCCGCGGAGGGTCTCTGCTTTGCGTGGAAGGTGACGGCCAAGCCTTCGCCAGGGCCAAGAGTTGAACTGCAAGGATTGGCGTGAGAGGTACAGTAAGCATTCTGAAGCCAACACTGGGCTTCGGGTACTAACTAAGACAAGCCCAAACAAATGCTGAATAACGTGCAAACACCCGCTCAGACTGAGTTATCGGCTCGTAGAGACAAATCGCAGAAGCGTGTCCCACCTCAGACCAGATCGGAATCGCAGTCTTCTGAGAGCTGCAGCTCAAGATTTGTAGTACGGGGGGGGCCCTTCCTGGGGTATATTCTACTGTAGTATGAGGAAAGTATGGCAAAATAGCAGGAGTAGTCGCGGTCGTAGTCGTACAGTCGCAGTATCCGTAGTATTCGTATAGTAGTGGGAGTAGTACTAGTAGTAATACTAGTAATAGTAGTAGTAGTAGTAGTAGTAGTAGTAGTACTAGTAGTAGTAGTAGTAGTAGTAGTAGTAGCAGTAGTCGTGGTGGTGGTGGTGGTGGTAGTAGTAGTAGTAGTGGTGGTGGTAGTAGTAGTAGTAGCAGCAGCAGTGGCAGTAGCAGTAGCAGCAAAACTCATTCAAAAAGCAAGGAGGATAAGAATGAACAGTACTATATACCAAGAATACAAGTAATAACGATAACATACAATGAGAATATAGGCGATACCATGGAGAACAGTACTACTGCAGTTGTTCCGACGTTGCTGATACTCTCACACGAATGCTACAGCGTTACACGTAACTTCAAGCAGAAGCATCATCTTCCTCCATGCGGGCCATCATCACCCTCCCCCATCTCCTCCTCTTGCTCCCTCTGCTCTTGCTAGGGTTATCCTCATGCATCCTGGTCATACACCTCATCGTCAACATCAGCACAATGAACTCCCCGTCATACTCATCAACAACCTAAACCCTCCTCACAGCTACCATGATCAGCAGCAGCAGCGGTAGCATTATCATCGTCAACAGTATCACGACGAGAACCGTTGCCATATTTGGTCATTAGTCATCATATCCTCATCGTCGACTTCGTCTCCGTGTTCACAGCCATCATGTTCTGGCAATATCGAAGGACGAGGGACCAGGGATGGACCCATGAACCACCCAGGCGAATGACGGAAATCCGGCACGACCTGCCAGTCCACTAAGCAAGCCGCATTGAGCGAGGCTCCGCGAACCTGGCATCCACACGCACGGCACCCAAGATGAAATTGCTGATGCTGCCTCACTCTTCTTGATTCTGTGTTTTGCCTACCTACACAACACAGAACGCTGCGCAAATGGTGTCTAGTGTACAGCAAGCTTATATTATAGCAACATATGTAGGTTTACATCCTCTTTCGGGCATGGCTATGCGGGGCCTGTGGCACTCGCAGCTTTGAGCTGCAACGAGCGAGGATGTCGGGGGAGATGCCTCGCATTGATGAAGCTTCTGATGGTTTGCTTTGGGCATTTCTCTTACTGTCGATTACTTGTTCTTCAGCATGTGGCCATGGAGCTGGGCAGCAGGCTGCCAAGTGAAACATAAGTGCAAAGGAGGAGTGAAACAAAGGGCATCGTGTAGACAACGAGCTGACAGATTGAATCGCCTCATCACCCATCTAAGACAAAGCAAGCAGGAGTCGCCAACGTCCAAGAACTCTGTCACTCACTCTGCCGAAGGGACATATAAATCTCTAAATGCCCTTGCATTGTCTCCGGCCTCAACCTCAAGACTGGATAACTAGTCGCGTTCGCAGTTGCCTTCAGAATCCCTTCCCCCCTACAACTGCCTTTCTCTTCATTTCCCACCACCAGCGCCCAACCTCACAAAACATGCCGGCATTGGCAATTCAGACAAAGGGCTTGGCGGCGTTGCAGCTGCTACTGACGATGCAGTGTAGCAACCCTGTCTGTTGGACGATCCGCTGTTGTGCTATGTTCTGATCTGTTCTTGGGTTATGCTATGATACGGCTATGTTCGACTATCTCGTATGTTGTATCATGCGGTAGTAATGCCAAGTCATTCGTGTGGTCCTCCATCAACTGAAAGTTTGCCCGGCCTTTTTGGGTTTCGTAGTTTACTCGGTACGGTTGCATCTTTCCGGCCTGAACTTGCTTTAGGGAGCAAGGCTCCAAGGGCGCAAGGCTTTTGCATGAGGTCTGGCTGTCTCGATGGGCCCGGGAGGCCATATGTCCGAGGGGATAGCCAAGCAGGCACACTACCTTCATTGCTTAATGCCGCAAAATCTACAGCCTGGGCCAAACTTTCAACACTTGTGTGCACCTGCTTCTACACTTAGCGGGCAGGTCCCGTGAAGCAGGAAGGGGCGGCTGCTGGTGCTGCTTGCTGCTACTACGACGGCTGCTTGCTACTACCACTGACTGCTGCTGCTGCTCCTGCTACTACTACTACNNACTACGACGACGACTACTACTACAATAATAATAATAATAATACGTGCTACTGCTGCTACTACTACTACAATAATAATAATACTACTACTACTTCTTCTTACTGATACTACTACTGATCTCGCAGACTTAAACTCTAGCAACAGGGAGCTCGCCCGCCAGCGCGGGCGTAAAATGGGGTTTAGGCTTGCTCTGCGGGCCTTTAACCAGAGTTTCGCAGTCTACTGTAATGTTTGTATGTTATCGTTTTACCTCATACACAAATCTAGTTTACTCCTTGCCTCTCCTAAAGTACCCACTGCATGGTCTGCCGGAGATTGACACGGTCGTCTGAGTCATCGTCACGCATCGCCATGCGGGTAGTGTGGCCCAACTTTTTGAGGATGGTCTTCCTGCAAAGAAGCAGATATCTGCATTTCTTGGGAGGAGGCAGCAACACCAGCCTCAGCTGCATAGATACCTCAGCATGTACGCCGCAGATTTTGCATACAATCGCCGCAGCCCACACCAATGTGTTTGAAAGCACGCGATTACACAGAATGCACATGCCCATCTCACATCAGCAGAAAGGGGATCGGACTTCGCGATCAGACGGTCTTCTGGCCACATACAGGCCGAGGCATTGGCAGATTCCCAGATCCCGGAGGCTTTCCAAAGCATCTGTCAACGGCTCTGCCAAGTGGTACTCGGCATGGTAGAGCCTCATGAGTGGTGTGTATGATCTTCAACAGCATGGCCATCTCCATCGCAGCAAAGCTTTTGAATCTAATACAGCGAATGTTGGCTCTTGCTGCTGGCAAGTGAACCTTTTCCATTGCAGTGTGAATGGCTGTGCATCACTCCACGACCGCCGAGGCCGAGGCCAGCCACAGGAAGCATGGCACGCTCGACCGTTTAGGCCTGAGCGGGGCTTACATGGGCTTGCGGCTGGCAAGGTGCAGAGTGTGTTATATAAGGCTTCATGAAATCAAGTGCCTAGTAGACGACACCAGTGAAGGGTAGTCGTCCGCTTCTCGATTTGCCCCACTTCTCACATGTCCGCCCCTTGGATTGCTCAGGCAAGTGCAGTTAAAGCTCGATCGTGACAGGACGACGGACTTCACGCCCAGCATCACGGCACTCCTTCAATCAATCTTAAACCTCTCGAGCTCTGCGCCTCGTTCACCCATCTCGAGAAGCGTTACGAGGAGAGGCTTGGATAGTCCGAGCATGTGGGTGCAACATGTCGCGCCCGTGTAGATACCACAGTAATAACCTCAGCCACACATCATGACAAAGTTCCTAGAAGAATGACGATGCATGCTCATGCGGAAAGCAGGATGCATGAAGTAAAAACTGAATTTCCCGCTACAGTAGGACCAAGTGGCACACTAAGAAGATTGCTTTGAATGGTGAGTACGAATACTAAAAGTGTCAAAAATTTACATGGTGCAAATACTTAAGTGAATACGTAGTTGCTAATTCTTCCCGGCTACATCTAAAAGTGACATAAAGCTGCATGCGCAGTCATCCCCGGGTCCGGACGGCTTGTCCCAGATTCCAGGCTGACCTGGCTAGAAGTTCCATTTTTTGAGTCGTTGACCTTGTTGGCGACTGTTGTAGATTTTGCTAGAATCATAATCATCACCATCATAATAATTCTTAATGCTCGCCCGCTGCACAGATTGGCTTAAGGTTTGCTGCTCCGCATGAATGATCAAGGCATCAGTATATGCTTGCAGGGCCCATGAGCCGTTTTGCGGAGCACGGCAGGTACAACAAGTTTGCGAATATAGTACTCGCGGATGCTTTTTGAATTCTGATTTCAAGACGTCTATCTCAAACCGCAGCTTCAGCTTCCGACTCGAAACGTCTGGCGGCTACTGAGCACCCGGCACCAGCCCATCCAGCACCAAGAACGGCGGCTTCATGTCTTGCAGCTCCTTGGACCTTCAGATGCTAGGTCCTTTCATGCCAAAGGGAAACCGGAGGATGAATTCCGAAGGCTGCCTGGGCCACGCAATGGCGTAGCGCACAGGCTCTCCCCAGGACAAGTCCTCACCAGGGCAACGTAGTCTGTGGCTTGACCCTTAAGTGATACATGGACAGACGGCTTTTGTAAAAGCACATCGACATTGGCGAGAAGTAGCTGCAGGTGTGTACATTATACAGGATAACATGACATGTAGACACAGCATGACACAGCTGTATAATGCTCGTAGCAGTAAGTGATCACTAGAAGGTACAACTGCGGAATCATGTGTGAGTCCATACAGAACTCTTCCAGCAGCGCTGCTGGCAATTCGTAGACAGGGCATGTCGCTGCATCGGCGACCTGGTACAACTCCTACGAAGCAAAACGAAACTCCCAATGCATGGAACTCAGGTAACTGTTGAAGCACCTTCGCTGCCAACATCTGCATCTGTGCAGATGCACCTCTCGTTCAAAATCGAAATCAAGGATCTGTGAGGTACCCCAGGAAGGAGTGCCTTGCTGCAGAACTATAGATGCAACCGCGGCAGCAGCCGTTGCGGCACCTGCGATCCAATCACCATCTGGTGATGCATGCCACTATCCCGCTTAAGCATCAGGATGCTTAGCGATGCGTCGGCTGCATGATGTCGCATGCATGCCGTACGAAGTACCTTCAGCTGAAGCAATATGCGGAAGCACAATGTTGGGGCGTAAGCTGTGATGACCCTCACCGGGGGACCCGACTACATCGCGGCCTGGAAGTGCCAGCTGCTCCAAGCAAACCTGGTTGTAGTGCCTGAGTAATTCGCGGCCAGCAAACAAGGACAAACCATACGCATGCATGTGTGGCGCGCCATGGATCCATCCTGCCTGCATGCATGCTGTGCTAACAGGACTGTGTTGTAACCCCGGAATGCCCGGCTGTGATGACAAAAACCGAAATTATTGACATCAGTGGCATCATCATGGCCGCCACAGTCCACATACCGATGCAAAATCGTGCGACCAGGTTGCACTGCTGCCATTGCGGGAAGGCGCTTCAGCCGAGGCTTTAATGGTGCAGCGGAAACCTTCCGTGGGCAGCGCAAGGAATCTTCTTGGCATCACTGGCTTCGGAAGCGACGGTAATTAGCATGCACTTGGCATGTGTGCAATGTTCGGTCTCCCTCTTTCTTCTCCGCCCTCTGTGACGAGATGCTTAGCGAAGTGAAACGCCAGGTAATACGCGGACGAAGGCCTGGGGCGCCGCGAAGCTCAGCCTACGGCAGCTCGACCTCTGCGAGCTTCAGCCGGCTTTGCCTTTGTTTGACCATCGCGGCACGTTCCAAGTTGTCTTTAACCATGTTCTTGGCCGGCAGAAGCAGAGGACTATCCTTCTCCAAGGAGGGGAGAACACGAATGATATGCTGAATACCTCGGCTATATGCATGGAAGGCGTCCACAAGGCGACCCCGGCTCTCAGCCTGCCGGGCTGATTTCACCAGGGCCTCACCCTTGGCCAACCGCTGCGTGCAGCTTTCGGGCAGTTGGCCTTGGCCGGTTGCACGACGTTTAGCAGAGGCCTCGTCGACTTGTTGCAAGGGGCGTTTCTGTCCCTCTGCGAGGTTTTGCTTTGGGAGCCTTTTCCCATCTGCCAAAGATTCAATTGTCATGGCGAAGGACTGCTGAATGACTTCTCGTTCCTCGCCCTTTGCCTTCGGCTTTCTCATCGGAAACGAGACTGTGGCACCGCTTGCCACATCCATATCTGTGTCCTTAGTGAGCTTCAGTGACTGTTCCTCTCCGGGTAGTCGAACACCACTTCCGTTCATGGACAGATCACGTACGACAACGTGGAATGGACCACTTGGTATCGGATTTGGAAGCTTCATCTCCAGGTGATTCCAAGAGATCCCCGACAAAGTGCACACCACATCAGACTTGGGTGCACGCCCGATGGAAATTGACTCCTTCACGCCAGGTGCCAGCTCAAACTGCATCGGCGGTCGTTTCGATGCAGCATCGAATGTCAACGACACCAACAGCCCTGGCCCGGCCATGGCCAATAACTTTGGGATGTAAGCTGCTCGCGAGGAGCCAAGTGTCTGAGCCGAGCAATACCCAAACAGTTAGAAACAGAACCACACGATCAGAAGAGAAATGCTAATGCTATCAACTTGCTCGGCATAACGGGGTCAGCGACAACAGCCAGGGCATCACTGTTTGGCAAACGTGAAATCGCGCCTCATCTGTGTCGGCCGACGCCAAGGAGCGAAGCTGCTTCTGGTAGGTATCTGGTCACGAGTCAAACATGCATTCGTCAGTAGAAGCGCGCAGAAGGTATGGCCATGGAGATGCGGTGTTTACCGAAGTCAATATAAATGAGTAGCAATAAGGTCAGTGTTGTTTTTATCGCATTACTTGGGCTCGCGCCCCAGTCACGTGTGGCCTGCGAACGGTACAAAGCCTTGTCTTCCACATGCTTCACGCAATACAGGACCCGACAGTCTGCGGCACTTCGGCTGGAAAGGGCACACTGTTGCCAAGATTCGGACCAGCCGCGTGTCATGAACGTCATCAACACGAAGGAAGGCCTGCCGATCAACAATGTCGCAAGGATTATCCAAGACTCATAAAGGCCATTGCGCGCCTTTGCTTCCTGCGTTTTGCGGGCGACACGGTGTGCCCGTTCTGCCTCCAAGGGCGCAACAACATGGAATTGCGCCAGGTGACCACTGAAGGAACTGAGGGCCGAGCTATCAAACACACCATCCCAACTGCTAAATGGTCTGGCGCCATGCGGACTCGATAACACCGTCGCCATAAAGAAACCTCGGGGTTTCGCAACACAACATTTCGACGCATCGGCTCTTGTGTAAAAAACATATATGTTATACATTCAATTGCGACTGGATTTTGCAATTGCCGCTGCTCGCGACCATACTGTCTGTCTATGTGTCAGTGACGGATCAACACCGCCGAGCCCGCACCATGCGGATTGCCTGTGATTGCATTAGCAACTGAATGCCGCAGAACACCCACGATGTTGATTGAGAAATCAGGTTTTTTTCTTATATGCGTTGGTTGCATTTATGCTCAACCGTACATGCCCTCATCTTTCAGAGAGTCAGAAACCTCAAGGATGTGCTAGATGGGTGTCGTCACAACAAATTCCCCGTTTCAAAGGCTTGTGCTGTGGACAATATTCAATAATCGTGGGTCACTGCACCCTCACGAACCCTAGCCTTGGAAGGGTCTGCAAGAACATACTTCGTGGTTTTGGAATGTTTTGGATGCCGGTAAGCCCGATGGCGGGACGGTTCTTTATTTCCACGGACAGGAGTTCGGCGGTCCCTGTGCCGGAAGCAGGGACAGTTACACGCTGTTTTTTGCGAGGTCAGTGCCCTCCACGCCCGAGTCCAAGGCTGCAGCTCACTGGCGGGGGAAGACGGCTGGCAAGAGGCGGGGCTTCGCCGAAGCGAGTCGAGGAAAGGAAGCCAAGGAGACTGGCACCGAAGGCTACGGTACTGCCGCTGGTGCTGGCGCGCAGCTCCGTCGGCATCGCCGGGAACAATGTGGAGCAGCTGAGCGAGGCAGATCAAAATGTCGCGGTCATGTGCGGCAGCGAAATCAGCGAGCATAGCCGTGAGTGCAAGTGGGAGCAACCGAAGACAGTAGTGGGCGCGAGAAGACGCGCAAATATCAGCAGTAGCCACGAGACTTGCAGTATGCTAGGGAGCAACTGGAGGAGAGCACGGTGCTGCAAGGAAAAGTGTTGGAGCTTCGCAGCGACGTACTCGTCCGTTCCCAAGGTGCGGCCCAGCACAACGCAAACCACGGTCTTGTGGGGGCAGGGTGGGGTCACCACCAAGTGGCACACCCCTCGAGAGGGGGCGGGAGATGGGGCGGGCGAACACCAGCAGGAATTCCAAGCACGCGTGTTGCCGCCAGGGAGCCGGATGTGCAATGACGCGCACAGATGGTGCTGGAGCGGGACAACACGGAAGCAGTGTGGGCGGGCAAGTTCAAGGTGGTAACATAGATGTGCGAACAGGGCGGGCATAAATGGATCGCCTTGCTCGCCACCTGCGGCCTGAGACACGGAGTGGGTGACGCCTTCATCGTCAGTCCATACGAAATGAAACGGCGTGCGGAGGCTTCAGGCGTGTGTTGGAGCTCGGAGAGCATGGCCCGGCGGCTTACGACGGATTGAAACAACCAGGCAAGGTTCGGAAGGGGAGCAAGAGCCGCCCCCAACTTTGATCTCATGCACGATCTCCTATAGCACATGCGGCGCGTGGGGTCGCACGAGCCCGCCGCGACACCATAACCAAAATACGGAGATCGCACTTTTTTTCTCACGCACCTTTTTACCAAAGGTCGAAGCGGTCCCAGTGAACGAGGCTATATAGCCTTACTAAGCTGCAGACTACGGTGGACCGTGGCAAACGCAACGCACAGGCTTAGGCGAGCCGAGTCGGCAAGCGACGGGGCTCCGGCGCCACGAGCCAGCGTGCATCAGCCAAGACTTCGTGCAAAGCAGGCGGCGTTAGTCTTTCGGGAAAGAAGTCCGCCGCACAAAAACCGTGTGCCCTACGTGTCCCGCGGCTAGGGCTGCTGGCTCAGCGAGTGCCAAAGGGTACAAGGCAGGCTCGTACCCAGTGGACCTCGCCTCGCTCCAGGGTGGCACTGATGGGCTTGGGCGGCTCAGTACGCCGCAGCCTGTGTTGCTGCAATGAGCCAAGGCAATCGCACAGCTTCCTCGTTGCTGAAAGCCACTGAAAGCTGTGAGCGGGCGCTCCGCTGCTGAGGGGACTAGGCTGCATGACGGTCAGCCACAGCCCGACGCAGGCCAGGTCCGCCAAACCGCAGCGCGAACCGCTGCTCGCGCCGGCTCGGGGGCAAGGGGTACGTCTGCAAGGCTCATGAGAGCTGAATGGCAGCGATCAACAAACAGCGGCGTCATGCGAGAAGGCCTATAGTCGTGGCTCGGGGCCGTCAAGTATGGGCGGCGCTTTGTGCCGCGACGCCACCCTGGTCTCTCCGTTGACCCGGACAGGTCAGCCACAACCTTGTGCCGAAGCAGTCGACGGTGCCGTGCTGCGGGTCGCGGAGCGCCGCAAAAGGGCGACGTATCCCGAACTCGCAGCTGGCGGCCCGCAACGACTCGTGGTACTGGGTTCCGAAATCGGAGGGCGATGGAATACAGACGCTCTACGCTTCGTGCAGGACCTCGTCCGTCTCCGCTCTTACCGCGCCCCGCCAGCGTTGCGCAGCGCAGCGCGAACGGCCTGGACGCGGCGGTGGTGGTCCCAACTGTCAGTGGCGATGCAGCAAGCCGTGGCCAGCACTGCTCTGGGACAGGCGTGGCCTGCCCGTGGACCGCGTCCTGGACCGGGCGGAGCTGGCAAGATGCAGTCGCTTGCCGCCCCGCTGAAGGGCAGTAGAGGCAGTAGAAGTAGAAGAGGCCGGTAGATGAGACCGTTTCAGCGGAGAGGAAAAAACCGTTAAAAAAAAGAGGAATGGTGAAAGCGGGCATCCTTGCGAAATGCCAAAGCATTGAATATGTGAAGCCGATGAATGACCAGACGCGCGGACTGTGAAAGTCCTGTTGCTGTAGATTGCCCGGAGAAGTCCGCGAAACAAAAGGGACAAAAGCGGTAAACCAAATCTCTCGAGAGCATGAAGCAAACCGTCGGGACTGATAGAATCGGAAGCTTTTTCCCAGTCCAGGGACAGCATCACCAGAGTACCATTCCGGTCTGCCAATGTCACGTCGAGCAGTCTCCGTGCAACGAGGATCGCGTCAGTACTGCCACGCTTGGTACGAAACGCAAATTGTGTAGGCCAGATTCGCTCCTCAGCTCCAGCATTCTGCAAACGTCTAAGTAGAGCCATGGCAAACAATTTATAACCAGCCGATACAACGGTGATGGGGCGATAGATTTTTGCACAGATTTTTTTTTAAAAAAAAATCGCCCTCACTGAAAGGTCATGCCACGACGATGGCACCATCACATGCCCATGGCCCACCTACACGCGGGAGACGTTTTGCGACAAATAATTTTTTTTACACGGACTTTTCCGCCTGCAAGAAATCGTCTCAGCTACTTTACGCCTACGGCATCTAGGAGCGGTCCCGGCTTAGGGCCGCAATGGCAGGCGGCTTGGCCCGTCATCTGCGGCGAGGTCAAGCACACGGTCCAGTGCTGGGCCGTCGCCCGGCCCCGGCGCAGGAGCTGCCAAGGCTGTGCTTGCCACGGCGAGCAAATAGTTTTCCAGAATTCTGCTGGCACGTGGTCGGTTCCTGTCGCTTTGTTGCGCCGCAAACGTGAGGCTGCTGCAATAATCTCCTCATCATTGAACGGCCCCGTGTCAACTGGTAGGGGCAAGCCAATCGGGCTATCAGTAGCTGCAATTGAGACGGGACGAACGGCCCATTGTACGTCCTGGAAATAGTTCGCCAATGACTCTGCGTGAAGTTCACTTTCCACAACCTTGCCGTCATCATCGCGCAAGCGTCCACATTTGGGTGCGAATCCTTTGCGTAGCTTTCGAATTTCGTTCCAATCACCAGATTGCAACAATTGGTCCAACCAGGCAATGCGGTCTACAGCAACGGAACGCCTGATTTGTTTGGACAAATCACGCTCTGCAAAAACATCCCTTGAAAACCGTGCATCATCTCGTCGCTGTAGTAGGGACAAAGTTTCGCTTGAAATCCACGGCCACTTGGCAATACGCGCACGTTGTGGCAAACATTTCCTAGTCCAGGCAGTCGACCGCAAACACCGAGTTTACCCGGAACTGCGGCAAGCTCGGCGCGGCCGAAGTTGGCGGGCGGGTCAGCCGCAGCACCGTGGTGCGCCGCAGCCGCTCGACAAGCCCTGAACCAGCGCTGGAAAGCCTTGGTCTCCTTCGCAGCGTTCCGGGTACAGGCCTGCTCGCTCCTTGAGCTGCCCATCGCGGGGCCCAGTGACCCAACCGACGACCAAGAGGTGCCGTTGGGTGAGTTGCTAGCATGTACAGGTTTGAAAATAACAACAAGCCCTTCCGTTAC